ACAACGTCGTTGCCAAGCGACGAAAACCCAACCCCGATGGCAAACACCGGGGGGGCGGCTTGTTTTACAACGTCCTTTCCAAGCGACGAAAACCCAACCCCAATGGCAAACACCGGGGGGGGCGGCTTGTTTTACAACGTCGTTGCCAAGCGACGAAAACCCAACCCCGATGGTAAACACCGGGGGGGACGAGGGGGGGGATTCGCAGAAATATACCGTGACGTTTTGGGGTGCCCTGGACTTGTCGCCTTTTTTACTCGTAGCCCAGCTTTTGCGGTTGAACGGTGGTGTCGTCGGTCCAACTGAACTGCAATGTGCGTTTTCGTTGCCGCTGCATTCTCTTTCGAGACGATTGTGGTCAGAAATCGATTACCATGTTCCAGATATATACGCATGTGGGATGGGGTCATCAGGAGTACGGATGTGTTTGTGTAGAATAGTGTGTCGGACGAATTATTTACGTGGTCTTACGGGATATTTCAATTTTCGTGGCCAGCGTTGACGACAAACGCATTCGATCGTGTCAGGTCCCCAGCAAGCCATGGATTCATTGGTCGTAGATATCGATCCGTCGTACGCTGTGTTTCGGCGGGTATTCAAAGCGTTCCCACAATGACTGCAGTCGACCACGGCCCAATTCCCTCTTCTGGCCTAAGAAAGCATTGTACGGTAGCCTAAGCTCGACGCGTTTTTTGGTAACGTCGGGAAAGGAATATGATAGTGCAGACATACCCGGGTCTGGGTCGTCATTGTGTTGCTAGGTTCTTCAGGTTCTCATTGACATAACTCCCAGTTCGCAGGTCGACACTATGTTATTCAGGAAGGCCTTCGTAGCATCTCATTGGACGAACTTCCGACCGGGAACGTCGCGTTTCATCGCCCACTCTATTCCCCGCGGGAACGTTTTTCCTCGTTCGCAAAACGGAAAAGAAAATGTGTGCCTGCTTGCGTGCAGAGTCCACTGTATCTCATGTGTTGTCATTGATTTGTCGCTGTGTTGTTGTCGTTCTTGTTGTTGCTATCGGCGTCGTCGTCGTCGTCGTCGTCGTCGTCGTCGTCTTCGTCGCCAGATCTGTTGCTGATGTTGTGTTCGTCGCACCATATCCGGGCGCCAGTCTTCATTTTTCGGTGAACGTTTGACGCACCAGTCGAGTTCACGCAGAAGGACGTAAGCACTGGAGGAGTTGTTACGTGAATCTCCATATTTTCCCTGCGGTGCATGCCTCATCTTGTTCCCCTGAGAAGGATTCAGCTGTCGCTTGCCCTCTTGTTGTGTTTATGCACGACTATGCGCCTTTGCCGCTAGATGGCGATTCTTGTTTCGTTCCCGATCGATCCAAGCCTAGCTTTGCATGTAGTTGACCAACGTCCTCAACGGCGAGGTTTTCAGCTATCCTAGTTTTTACAGGATATTATTGTGTTTTTTTGTGCCGTTTACACTCCCTTTTTGTGGTTGTTCTTGTCGCACCCGCGCAGGTACCTGTTTCCATATCGCGCGTTGGTACTTAGTCCATTCCGAGCTGCGTGATTCGCGTGGTCGGCTATGTACAACAACGACGAAGTTTTTCAGTCGTGTGGGGGTCTACTGCACACGCCATTGTGATAAACGTTCTTCGGCGACGCTGCAGGAGGGTGTGGCTCCCGTGTTCTCTGCCTTGCGATTGCTAGAGAACAAGGCTATATCTGCTCGCGTGAGACTGAGAGACCCTTGTGCTATGTACACGAGCATCGCTAACGCAGAAAAAAGGGTAAAGAGATCGAATAGTCTAAACGTTACTCAGACCAGGCACAGCCACATCGCCCGTCCCCCTGCTCCCCAGCTTGGGATCCTGCATTTCAGGTCTCGAAAAAAACTCCGGGACACGGGTGCGCGCGAGCGACGCGTGGTGCCTAGAGCCACGTGGTCCCTCGCGATCCCCCGCAATGTGCACGTCATCACGGCGAGATGTCCAGTTCAGTGGCCTCTTCCAACCCGTTGAAATGTACGGCGGCGGTATTCCGTCGTCTTTCGGAAAGAGGCCAGTAGGGTCCAATATTAGGGCTTACAGAATGTCGGGGCGCCCGTCGCAGATGAAGACCGCTCTGATCCTCATCCATTGACTAAGCAGCTGTTGTTGTTGCAGCAACTGACGTCGCAGTCATTCTTACAACAACCGCTAAGGACCCAGCTGTTGTTGTCGCAGCAACTGACGTCGCAGTCATTCTTACAACAACAAGCACGGACCCCAACCCCAGAAAAAAACACTACTAATGGTATCCCTATCACTAATAGTATTATCCTCCATGCAGAAAAATCTTCACTGCCATCGCCGGCGTCATCAGCATCTTCCCCAGGTCTTGGGGCTGGCGTATCCACCGCACGACCTGCAGAACGACCCCGTTCGGTTACACGGAGAAATCGTTCATCAGACTCAACCGCACGGAATCTTGAGTTCGTGAGCGTACAAGAATCGAGATCAAAATGACGTCATGCTGGCTAGGAGGACATGCAGCTCGCTCCCCACTCCCACAGCTTACAACGAATCAAACAGCATCATCTGGGCCGCTTCAGGACATCGGGGCACATACATGTTCAGACTAGCCATTTCAGCGAAGAGTTTGTCCCGCTTCACTTCGAGAACATTGAAACCTAGTCGAAATTGCAGAACGAATTGTTGAAGATGCTGCGTGTCGGCTGCGAAGCAGTCTACACAGCTGTGTCGAATAACATACGTAGTTCACAACTCTGCCGGAAATTGTGCACTTCGTACTTCGTGGCACACATTCTCTGCGAAGTATGTTTTCACCTCGGACCAATGAGAGAGGACACAGAGAAATTGGAAGCCCGAAACGTGCTCACGTATCAGATCGCCATGCATCTCAAGGCATTGGCAAAGATGCTGCAGAGGAATCTGGCGTGATTTCAGCATTGTCCCTTGCAATACAGTCCAACAAAGTACTACCGCTACAACCCTTGTTCTGTACATTTTCTGATCCGTTCCTCTTACAAATTATATACTCAATTAGCATTCGAGGGGAGGTTCCGCGCCAATATTGTTAAACGCTTGGTGGCACAGAATGAGACAAAACCCTGGTATCATCTACTGCAAAGTTTCCCCGTGAACGGGAACGATGACATCCTAGGCAACTCAGCCACTGTCTTCTTCGTTGGTGTTATTTGGAAGGAAACAGGGTGTGGGCGTAACGAAAGGCCGACTGATTACAGTACAGCCTCGTTGGAACACCCCGTAACGATTCGCTACCATCGCCGGATCTCCACGCATGCACTACTCACCACCATCTGAGGGGAATGTGTCACCGCCGCCGCCGTGGTCGTCGTCGTCTCGAACTTGTCGAGTTAGGCGATGGATGACGTGGTCGAAATCCGCCGGGGTCCCTATACTTGCGAACATTTCTCCGGCCTCCCTCAAGGATCCGTCGAACAAGCACTCACTAGACGTAGTGAGGGCGAGTGAAGAAGGAGGGCAGCTAACTTGCTCGAACGTTGGTCCTTCGTACGGTTCATCCACGCAGGCCATGACGCCATCGTCGACCACCGCAGCGACGCAAACGCTTGCATCATATCCCATGGCTTCCATGTCCGCAATGTAGCAGGTAATTCTAGTCCACGTGGGGTAGTCGCTCATATACGAAGAGGCAGAGGTGTCCGGGGCGCCACACACTGAGCACGTGCAGTCGCTGGAGCCCTCCTCCCCAGACCCGGCGGCCCATAGACATCTGGACGCATCGGCACTGCCGCAGCCAGCCCAGGTAGCTTCGGTGTCCCAAGCATTCACTTCGCACGCGGCGCCGTCGGTGCATTTACCGCGATCATCCCACTCCACCGGCATGTCGGCGTCGAAAGGATCCAGCCCCAACAACGTGCATCCTACCAGGCACTCGGAGGCCTTGCCGGTCTTGGCGTTGGAGAAAAAAATCAAGAGCCAGGGACCGAAGGTCCACAGCAAATAGCTGAGGGGAAGCACACTATCTGCATCGATCGATCGTGAAACATTGGGAGGTTCATAGTGAAGGGGGAGTGGCGTGAGTTCATTTTCATCGTGTTTAAATTTTTGTGTTGGGAACGGCTTACTGACCCAGTCAGCTGTTCCATCCTCTCCGTAGAGTTAAGACTTTCGGCCTCGTCGCCAGCGTTATGACAGAGTAAGCAACACTAGGGGGTTGGCGTATTGGCTATCGGAACTGTTTTTCTCGAGAACCGCAGTCGTGGGCCCGCCAAAAAATCGGTACACTAGACTTTATGTACAGTTATTTTATTACCAAATACTCGATCCAAACTCACTTTTGATACCGGCTTAAGATTGTTCAATCAACACGTTCACTTTTTCCTCCAACTTACACTGGTTCCCTCTGAGCGCCGGGCTACAATAAATACCTCTGAGCGAACGTGTCGAACAACAAAAAAACGAGATTCGGGTACATGCCGGGGTACGCAGGGAGAAAACTACATACAGTCTGAAGCCTGTGATGCCGGAGCTTTGGAGAGGGGAGGAGAAAGAGGGTGCAACAAAATCGCGCGCTGTGATGGGGGCTATAGTCTGGACTCATACGTGAAGGGTGCAACATTATCGCGGGCTCTGATGGAGGGGCTATAGACGAGACCAAGTCTACGCCTCTATCTGGGTGCTTGAAGGTGAACGCGCCACCACTAGGGGCAGGCGCGGAATACGCACCTTGCCCACCGATCGATGAAAGGAGGCACCGGGCAACCTGTATCTTTCCTCTGTGTACACACGAATGCAATAGGCTTTACACGCAGGGTTGGCACTGTCCGCATCATCCGATCAGCAGGCGCCTACTTTTTTGTTCCATTTCAGAAATTCTCCAGAACACCGAGTTTTCTGCGCGCCCGTGTTCCATCCTCTCCCCAGGCACACTACACATACCAAAACGAGCCAAAGCACTTGGCGGAAGAATACACAGCGTATTCAAGGGCCAAAGCATTGTCCAAGCCAGATTTTCCCAGCGGAAGGAACACGACGAGTGGCCGCGTGAACAGCATGCCAACACCACTGCTGTACAATCCCTGTTGTTTGTAATTCCGACACACACCTATGCTAGCTACACATGCTCGTTCCGTATTCGATGTAGGGAGTGTCCTGCCTACTTGGACGGATTCGTTATGAAATGTGTTGGACGCCCCACACGCTGACGCACGGCCCAAGCCGCACGGTTGTGATGCGCGGGCAGCACGTCGGTAGCTTGTGGATTTCGGTGGAAGGTCTGTCGGCGTGCGGGGGGATGACAAAATTACGCACCGGAACTTGCCGGAACCGGGAAAATCCATAGTTCGTCCACGGCTTGAGTATTGTATCTCTCATCGATCTGTGCTTGTACCGTCGAGCAAGACCATGAATACCACCGTTGTTGCCGTCGGCTCGTGACACTCACGCTGCTGTTATTTTATTGGGCGGTCTTAGCTTTCGGTGGCCTGAACAAATTGCAAACAACCGGTGCTGCTCTAAAAAGCGGCTCTTTCCAAAAATGTGTTGTCTGTCCGTGGTACGCGTGCTGTAAAGCAGTACGACGACTCACATGTTGATGACAGCTGGCGTTGGGGCTGACGCATTCTCCTCCTGGTCGCGTGGGACTGCCCAAGCGGGCTTGTAGGTGTGTGTATCAGCAACCCCAGTGGTCTCTGCGAAAGGTGTGGTTCCAAACCCGAGGTCTGTGCGCAACAAACAGCAGACGATTGATTCCAGACTGATATCTCTGTCTGGTGTTCCCTTCTCAGACCGTCGCCACTCTTTTCTCTTTTCCTTGTAAATGGTTTCTGGAACACGGACCGGACAACTTCGAGAACGTCCGTCCGTGGACAGACGCGCGCACCACAGGACTTGAAATATTGTTAACAACAAAAACTGATTACCGAGAAATTTCCTAGATAGTGTTAGCCATAATTATGAAGAAATTATGTTTTTTTAAACTAATTAGTTATTATTAATGAAATATNTAATAAGGTAAGGTCAGAAATATTGTTGACAACAAAAACTGATTATCGAGAAATTTTTCTAGATAGTTTTAACCATAATTATGAAGAAAAGAAATTTTTTAAGAATAATAAATTATTTAATAATGAAATTATAATTAGAGAAGATGGTTTACTAAAAGAGGTTAAAGGTAGTAAGCTCGTTTTACATTTAGGTCAATCATATTTTTTCTCAACGGGAGCTTTAGTTCGAAAAATACCTGGTGATTACATTCGACGTCAAGAAACTTTAGGACAATTAATATTTGAACGATTAATTACGGGTGATATTGTTCAAGGCTTACCAAAAATTAATAATATTTTAGAAGCTCGTAAGCCTAAAATAGAATCCTTACTTTCAACAAGACCAGGCTTTATTAATTCGATTAGATATACTTCGAATTTATTGTAATAGGTACGAAACCATGCATAAAAAGACTCATCGCCGAACGCGACCACCGATCCATGACGACGGCAGTATTGATCACATCCATGGACACCTCCCGCGGATGGACCATATATATGTGGACTGGCGTTCACCGATGATGCGGCCGTCGATATCTACTGCTGCTGTGGAGGCTTGCCACGTTCCAAAATGTGAAGTTGAGTACGGGGCCACTTGGAACGTGGCTTTCAAAGTTTCTGCCTATGAACTCGCTTCGCGAAAGTTCCTAACTCTGGAAACATCCAAAACGTCGAAACAAAGGCGCCACGAAAAAACGCCCCAAGAATAGGCTACTCCTACAGACGGCGCTTTTTATGAAGGGTAGTTGACGTATTTTTTTGGAGTACATGTACGACTACAACCGTGTTGTTTTGTTGTTGTTGTCGCCACATCAAAAACCGTTCCGGTGTCCATGCCTGGGATATCGGCCGCCGCACAGTATTTGTATTGATCGGCCGATGATCGATTCTTTCGCCACGTTGTCTCCGCCGACCTTCGACACCAGTGCCAAAAGTGATCAAGCTGCACCACCAGGCGATCTTGCTGGCGGGTGGCAAAAATTTTTAATTCGTTCCTCAGCGGTTAGACTAGTAACCCCGAAGCACCTCTCCGGGTGCCCTATTGTCCGTTCCCGTTTATTTTGTCTTTCAGATGTACTGGACACTCCTGCGCCTTCGGTAGGCTCCCTATCTAGCCTGTGGGAACGAGATTGAGCCCCTAGCAAGACATAATTCCCTCTTCCATCGTGGGCACCGTCTGAGTTGTTGGTGTGAGGCTTTCAGGCAGGTAGGTAGGTACCTACGCGCGACGCGTTTCGGGCTCTGCCGTATTTCTGAAGTTAGCCTCTTGTGCACCGGTCCACCTGACTCGGACGCCTCCGCAGGTCGCACGCTCACTACCCAAACAGCGTACAAACTTTGATGCGTTCTGCGTTCTTTCGAATGCTTTCGTTCGACAATATGACAAGTCAAAACTTGAAGAAAGGACAGACATACACGCGACAGCCATACAACTTTAGATGGTGCTCCGGTCTCGAATGGCAAAGTTCGATATTTTACGCACACCATTCCTCTCTTGAAAGTATCATCCAAGGCTTTCAAAACAAGAGAGCTGGGATCGAAATGAGAGCAATCACAGCAAACAACATTCGGATTTCAATCCGGACAGAGGCAAGCCTAACTCCTGCAGCCAAAAAGTGCACGCGCCGTCTCAAAGCGTTTTCGTTCTACAAGTTGAGGCTTGTCTCTCAGAAAAACATTTGTTTCGGGTTTCGCTACATGTATAAGGCGTTCGAAAGGGACACAAGGCCCCCGTCAGACCGACGAACAGCAGTGCTCAACACGCTCAAGCTCACGTCAAAGCAACAAGGTCCGCCGAAAATTCGGCAACTTCATGATCGACACTCTTTAAGCCTTAGGTTCAGATACAGCCACGCCCCCCGACCCTATCCACTACTATCCTTTCTACCGACTGGTTGCCCAAGACCATGTGCCCAAACACCAATAATATCGTCAGCCAGGATGGTCGATCACTCCGACCGAGTAAGCCACCATACTAAGACGTGCATCCATATCAATTACGAAACCAACCCATTTTTCAACAAGTCGAAGTGCCTGTGCTTCAGAGCCGCCTGTGTACAACTAAAGAGAAACCACCCAACAACTACCTATGCCCTCCATCGTCGGCTAGCCCATGGGCTAGCCCCATGTGGGCCATTTTGTTGGTCCGGGTGCGCGGCGATGCCCCGCACGATCTGCCCCTTCTTCAAAGCGCGAGCTTCAGAACCGCGCCCTTTTCTCCTACCCTCGCCGCACACGACGGAGGACATGGGCACCCAAGTTCATCGGTTCACCGACGACCGAAGCCTCCTCGGTGCCACCGGGGGTCGGTGCGGGAGTGCCGTGGTGGGGGCCGGGAGGGTGGGGGTGGGGTCCAGGTCCAGGCGGCCCTGGGAGACACAGAAAAGGGGCGCGGGGGGACGGGTGTTTGGTGATTCAAGTACAAGAACGTCCTCGGATCTGAATTACTTTCCCTTGCACGCCAACACCACCGTTAGTGAGAGCAAATATATATCCCCGGAAAAAACGCTGTTTAAGAAACGGCCTTATCGTTTGATATTTTGCGCCCTTTACGTCGTGGAGAACTCGACCTTTGACAAATCGGTACATGGCGTGTGATATGATGGGTGACGCGTACAGCAGATACAAGGGTCGAGGCATGCGTTTCCCATCCGGGTGTCGTCCGGTCGAGAATCAACCAAGTCGACTCTAGCCAAGCAACCTGAGTCGTCCAAGACACAATAAAAAGGTGTGGAGTATGCGCTCAGCACTGCATGCATTTTCTCCCCGCCCCTCCCGAATAGCGGTCTAACTTGTGTCCTACTGTAGCGCTCGCTTACCGGGGCGAGGACCGGGAGGCGGGGGCCGGGGACGCGGAGGATTGGAAGGGTCGTCAGAGGGGTCCCCCCTCATGGGGTGAGTGCGCAGGACGCTACCGCCGTCGGCCGCGGCATGCAAGTTGAAGGACTCATCCTCCTCCTCCTCCGTGCCGGCCGGGGTCGGGGCGGGGCTGCCGTGGGGGGGGGGGGGGGGGGGGGGGCG